GCCCCTCGTTTAGGAATAAGGTCCTTGATTTGTTTTGACTGGTCCTTTAGTTTGAAGCTACCTTTTCTCCCTGTGAAATACAGCAGCTGGACCTTTAGCTAGCAAAACACTGTTAGACAAACTGCACACAAACATTTGGTGCGTTTCAAATTTTTGTTGAGCTGATAAAAATGCTGCATATGAAATTAGCTGCCACTTAAAAACTATTACTCCATTTATGCTCGCTCATCTTGTGTGTGGCTAGATGCTGAAGTACTGTGACAGCAACGTATGAGCGCTGCAGTCATTCCAGTGTTGTGCCAAAATAAAAAACACTGGCCCACTTTGACCCCTGACTATGGCCCACAGTTTTCTTTCTTTCATTTTCATGTGTCATACCCTGGTGATTAATACACCATCTGGATTGCCGTTCATGTGTTACTGTTTAAGCTGTGATGAACTAACTCCTCTCAAAGGCCTTAAACCAAAAGTAACACATCTGTTTGGAAATGTAAGGAGTATAAAGTACAGATTATTATTTTTAATGTAGGGAGTAAATGTTAAAAAACAACAACCTTAGTTTACAAACAGACTCTTCACTGAACCAAGCTTGCAACTATTACACTGGATTTATTATCATTGAATAAACTATCAAATTATAGAAATATATGATAGGAAACAGGGGAAAGAAATATAAGAAAGTACAGACCTGGTAAACATGTATTACTATTCTGAGTGTGTTAGCATGCTAGCATTAATATTTGTGTAAAGCAGGGTGGATGGGCATGATTTTAGTGTGTTTGAACAGTCATTCATTATTTTTAACACCAGGTTGGATGTAATGTGTTACTGTTACCAGTAGGTGGTGATAAGAGACCTTTAGGTGTTTGGTGCCACACTCCACCTTCAGGTTTAAAATTAGTGTTAATGGAGGGACTTTGAAGGTTCAGTTTGTTCAGCGACTGCATTTCACTCATTTCCTGTGTTTGTATCTCTGTCACTGCAGGACCAACATGGACCGAGAAGTCAGCGCTCTCAGGAGGCCGACAAACCTCACAGAAGAAAGAGAGAGAAAAAATACAGCTGTGACGAGTGTGGGAAGGATTTTTCTCGCAAAGCTTCACTAACAATGCATCAAGTCATCCACACTGGAGAGAGACCGTTCAGCTGTGGAAAGTCTTTTCCCTGGGATAGTTGCCTAAGAAAACACCAACTCGTCCACAGTGGAGTGAAAGCGTACAGCTGTGATCAGTGTGACAGAGCTTTTGATCGCAGTTGCAGCTTACAGAGGCAACTCTGGAACTAAGACATATAGCTGTGACATTTGTGGAAAAACTTGGCGAGACAGCCGAAATAGACACCTACGCATTCACACCAGACATGTTGTGTACTGGTGTGATCAGTGTGGCAAACAGTTTATAACAGATGTACAGTTACAAAGCCACATGTTTACCCATGCTGAGGAGAAACCTTATAAATGTGACCTGTGTGAGAAGACTTTTAAAGCTCCACGTTACCTGAGACGACACCAACAGATCCACACCAGAAAGAGACTCTACAAGTGCAGTTACTGTGACGTATGTATGTTTATTTTTATCTTATAATTTTAGCCTGACTGTTTGGGAAAACTCAGCTCATTAAGTTGTGTTAACATGTTGGAAATTCTACTGGACGGAAAAGCAGCTCTGAGTGATTATTCAGATTTTAATTTCATTTATGGTTTTTGCTTACACTGTCATGAAAAACTAAAATTACTGTAATTTAATCTTCAGGGAGTTTCGTGTTATATCATGGTTTTGTTGTTATTTCAGCATAAATGACCTTTGGTTTACAGCGGCTCATTCCTCTGTCAGGTGTACGTGGAATACAATAAAACACAAAATAAGTACAAAACCAAACCATTCAGTAATCTTCTCTTATGTTAACAAAGTTGTATCGTTACATGCTGGCATTGTAGTACTTTAGCTGTAGTATCACTGCTTCCTTGTAGCTCAAGTACTTTTAGACATCAGTGTTAAAATACTCATTTAATATTATCATTGCAGTGTCATGGGGGTAGTAGTGTATGTTTCTTGTGTCCCAATCAGCTGAGTACCGTAACTGCACAGTTGCAGTGTTTCGAACGCAGTATTAAATTAATATTATTGGAGTGTTACATTAGTAGTTTAGCACTGTGTTGGTACCCTGAAAATATTAGCATGGTGTAACATTAAATAAGTATTACTGTAGTATTATGGTGGTAGTATTGTAGTTATTGTATCCCTGTGAACTGAGAAAGTAATTGGAGTAAAAAGTAATTGGACGTTGGCAGAGATGCTCTTTATTTCAGGCGACGTTCACGATACAAATGTTGAAGGACTGACTTCCACTGTCTTTGTGTCTTTGTTTAGAAGCAGAGCGGTGCAGATGGGTCCAGTTCTCAACCCTGTCATCGCTGTGGTGGTGGGAAAACTTTTGTTGTGACCTTTGTGGAAAATCTTTCAGTCATGCAAAGAGCCTAAAAATACATCAACGTAGACACACTGGAGACAAACTGAAATACTGCAAAGAATGTAGGAGAAGCTTCACCAGATCACATGAGTTAAAACACCATGAAGTCATTCACAGTGGGGTTAAAAAGCACCTCTGTGATCAGTGTGGGTCATCGTTCACCACTGCAGGTGAGCTTAAAACACAAAAGAGTCCACACAGGAGAGAAACCATACAAGTGCACACACGGTCACACACACACTGCTGTGACCGGTGTGACAAGACTTTCAGGAATCTCAGTTCATACTCCGAACACAAACGATCCCACACTGCAGATAAACTGTTTCACTGCTACAATTGTGCAAAAACGTTCACTTCACTATCTGTTCTGTGCAAACATCAGCGTGATCACGGTGAATCTGGTGTCAGGGTCAGACTTAAAACTGTTGAGATCAGGCTCCACAGAGTTCAGCTGGAACCGCATGTTAAGAACTGATGAGGCTGCTGTAAATATAAATGTTCCTGCAGTTACATCTTAAGCTTTCTAAACTCTTCTACTTTGCTCTTATCGAGTGGTTAGCTTTTTTTTTTTTTTGTTGGAAGAAGAAAGATTGTTATGTACCGTAAATGTCGGGCTATAAGCCGCTACTTTTTGCACAAGCTTTGAACCCTGCGGCTTTTAGTCAGGTGCGGCTTTTCTATGGATTGTCCGTGATTTTTGTCATATCGTAAGACGATTTGTTTTGTGTGTTCCGCTGTTGTACGGCACTACGTTGCCTGGCGAAAGGATCGGGGTTCAAGAGTGGTATGTTAGTCACATGTCCGTCCGCCAGGCAACGTAGTGCCGTACGAAGTAGCGCGAAAAACAAACTTCAAAGTAGCGGTACGCGTTCAGCGGGAGTCGTGGATGATGAGCGGCGATAAACTTGCAAGTTGTGCCCAAAAAACAAGTTATGCCCAACTGCACCGGTGGATTTTGACAGCGTGGAAAAGTGTGAAAACATCCACGATCACCAACGGATTTTGAAGGGCTGGACTGCTGCATGATGGAGAGGAGGACACCGCCACGGCCCTTCTGAGGGTGTTCAACTCTGACACTGACAATGAGGATTTCTTTGGTTTTGAAAGTGACAACGAAGGAGAGAAGAAGAGTGGATGACGAAGCCATCCTGAGCCTGTTTGTATCCGACACTGGAGGAGAGGACTTTGGTGGTTTTAGTGCGCAGGAAGAAGAGAAAGATGGTGGTGAATGACTGACTTTTCTTCTTGTTAAAGCTGTGTCACTGCACCTGAGCCTAAAAGGTAGTCCGAATCTATTTTTCTGGTGTGCTGTAGGCTACTGTTATGTACTACATGTGCAAATATGTACCCATAACTTGTTTTTCAAAATATTAATAAAAGTGATGTCTCCAAACAGCCATCTCTTTCCTGACAATTCCCTTTGTGCATATTCTCTTACATATGATAAGTCAACATTGAAACACCTGCGGCTTTTGGTCAGGTGCGGCTAATGTATGTACAAAGCAGGATTTTCCCCTGATTTTAGCTTGTGCGGCTAATATTTAGGTGCGCTTTGTAGTCCGGGAAATACGGTAATCAAGTTTTTATTGAATGCATTTTGATCCATGTGTTCTGTAGGTGGTCTTTGTTCAGGCTGTCTGTGTTATGAAACTTTGCAACGGTTAAATAAAAAATGAAAATGTTAAATAAAGAAATGGTTTAATGACAGCTTGAGCCATGATGTCATTTCCTGTATTTCAGAGTAAAGACTCGAGGGATGAATGGAAACATGTTTACAGTCAGAGTGAGATTAACTGTTTTCAGTGACCCAGATGGAGGTTTATCGGAGGACACTTGGCTTTCCTTCCCTCACACTGAGCAGGGTTCCTGCAGCTTATTACAAACTCTGATCTTAAATTTAAGAAAAATAAGATCTTTAAAATCTTGTATTTCTTTTTATCAAACTTGCTGTAGGTGTTAAAACTTCTGATTTTCTTTTTTAAATTTTTTAGGGAAAATAATCTTTTATAGTTGTGGTTTCATTTGCTCAGAGTTTATCAGCGTTTCCTGATACAAGGCAGGATGGATCCATGCTTTTGTGTTTTTTAACACAAATTCTGAAGCTAAAATCTGAATGTTACAGAGATTGAGACCCATCAGATCAGGCAACATTTTCAATCTTCTGTTGTCCCCTTTTGTGGACAACAGAAGATAACAGTGGAAGCAGAACGAACTGGGAGATCTCAGGTCCAGTTTACCTCCTGGGTACGTCAAGCTCTTCCTCTGCTAATCGTTCCAAACACGGAAAGCTTTTAGGAACATTTAAAGTTTGTTTGGTTTTTAAGTCAATTTTGTGGAAGCTTCAATCTGAGATGATGGTTACAGAAACTGTGCAAGGATGACGTTTCGTACTTATTTGATATAGAGAAGTGAGTCACCAGAGAATGGACACGTTAGTTAGTCATGCTGGAGATGGTTTTTGTGTCACAAAAGACTTCAAAAAATATACAACTATTCAGACTCACAGACATAATAATGATCAGAAGAGCATAACAAGCATACGGACGCAACTCCCATTTTTTTTTCCATTTCATGCATGAGAGCAGATTTTAACAGAAATGCATTGTCAAAGCTGTCGTCAAAGACTGCTATGGTAGCAACCGAGCCAGCTAACACACCTGGTCAGGAAACATGAAAGTACTAAGTGCTGGTTAATACTTTCAAAATAAGAGTGTTATTTATTTCACAGTGTAAAATAATCCTGATGGTGGGAGTATTGTGGAAAAGCTTTCTGTAGCGCTTTTAAAAAACAGTCATTTCCATTGGGGCAAATACTTCTGTCCTCATTAGTGTTTAAATATTAACTGGAGACTCTTTGAGTGAGGACTTTTTCTTTCCAGTGTCTCTTTGGAGTTTTCATGTTC